AGTAGAAAGTAAGAGAAGAGTCCTGATGATATTTTTCTTCTCAGGTAAGACTCTGACAATTTTCCAAATAGATTATGAATGTGTTTGTCTCAGGAAAACTAGGGTGGAGAGAATTTTATTTTATTTATTAAATTTGTATGCTACCCATCTCACTGTTGCAGGCCACTCTAGGTGGTTTACAGAATAATAAAATTAAAAAAAAATGTAATGCAAAGGAATTAAAATTAGGAAGATTAAATTTGCATCCCTCCCTCCCCTTTTATGTGTTTTAATCCTCCTTATTACAAATGGTACAATGAAATGTTAGAAACATTAATCTATGGACTACTTTCTCCCTGGCTGGAGGGTTAAGGTGGAGCTCTTGGAAATATTTGGATTCAAAGCTTTCTCCAATCTGTTTCTACAATGTCTGCACTTCTCTTTTTCTTCTTCCAACTCTAGAATTAAACCCAAGAGAAGGAAGCACAGTGGATGTTTCTACCAAGATAAAACATAGAGAACTACAGGTGGTCTTCGACTTATGACCACAACTGAGCCCAAAATTCCCATTACTAAGCAAGACAGTTGTTAAGTGAGTTTTGCCCCATTTTACGACCTTTCTTGCCGCAGATGTTAAGTGAATCGCTACAGTTGTTAAGTTAGTAATGCGGTTGTTAAGTGGATCTGGATTCCCCATTGACTTTGCTTTTCAGACGATCACAAAAGGTGATCACAGGACCTCAGGACCCAGTAACCGTCATAAATATGTGCCAGTTGCTTAATGTCTGAATTTTGATCATGTGACCATGGGGATGCTGCAATGGTCGTAACTGTGAAAAACGGTCATAAGTCACTTTTTTCAGTGCCATTGTAACGTCAAATGGTCACTAAAGGAATGGTTATAAGTCAAGGAATACCTGTACTGAATTTCCACCTCTAATTTTAGAGGTTTTGCCAATTTGGAAGACAGTATCTAATTCAGTCCATGGCATCTGGATCCTGTCCCAAGGACCTAGGGCAGGGGTAGACAACCTTGGCTCTTTTATGACTCGTAGACTTCAACTCCCAGAATTCCTGAGCCAGCATGGCTCAGCTTGGAAACCTCTCCCTTTCCCTCAGCATGGCTGGCTCAGGAATTCTGGGAGTTGAAGTCCACGAGTCATAAAAGACCCAAGGTTGCCTACCTCTGAAAGGAATGCAGCTTAAATACAGGTGTGTTTTTTTTACACAAGTGGATATAAAGGATTCACTAATAACTGATAAAATTTAAAGAATACAACCTCTTCAAAAACAAAACTTTCATTGCCTTGAAAAGAGAAAGGTCATAGATCTATAGTACAGGCTTTTAAATTCTCCTGATAAGTGAGTCCTGGGATGTCAATAATCATTATTCTCAGGAAAGTAATTACAGGATCATCACCTTCAAAGCATGTTATATCATAGGAAATTATGAAATAAATAGTTGTTTCCGAAAAGCTTTCTTCAAGCAGGTTGGGTTACAACATTGGCATACAGTGATGCAATGAAAGTACTTTACATTTTCCTGGGAGTTGTGCAAAACTGTGTCCCTGAATATTATTGCCTCTTTTAGTATCCACTTAAGATCTGGTAATACCTTCCAAAAGTTTAGAATAACAGTTGTCAACACCATGTTAATAATAATTTCTTTAATTTGTCAGCACATCCAAGAGCAGTAATCTCAACTTAAGAAGTTACATTTCAGAGGATCAGGGGGAAAATGGATGCCAAAAATATAGCGTTAAGGATCACTAAGGGGATCCTTTTACTCTTAAGTATGATATACTCCAGATAACAACTTTAAAGCACCATGCTTGGAATTTCAGCAATTGATGGAGTCTATTTAGGAGCTGTATCCAGCTTGACAGTTACTTTGTTCATGTACTATGATTCTGAAGCTCAATTGCTAGAATTGCTCTAGTCATTGTCAGGTTCAGAGTCATTGTCCCTGAAATATATTCATAAATCCTCACTATAGAAGAAAATAGAGATTGCCTTTTGATAGAGATGAAAGCTAGTTGTATACTCAGCTGGCCACCAATCTGCTTTGGGAAGTGTTCCATTTATCTGAGTAAAATCCTGCATATTTCAAGAAACATCCCTCTGTCGGGTCCTTGATGCTGTCTGAGCTTGTTTGTTTTCTTGCAGACATTTTATTACCCAACAAGATAACATCATCAGTGCTAACATCGTCCTGTCACTGATGATGTTTCCTATTTGGGTGATAAAACAGTTGCAAAAAAAACAGCCAAGATCAAACAGCACCCAGGACCACACAGTTCAACCCCGAGTTACAAATATTCTCTTATATTAGAACATCCCTCTGAAAATGAGGCCACCTTCTAAGGGATTGCTCCAGAAAGAGGCATGCCATGTAGAGAGAAAAAAAATCTGTGTGTTTGTGTGGGTGATTGGACTATTGTGGCTCTCTTCTGTTAAAGAGTTCTGCTGTCAATCACAGGTTTGGAGAGAGATAAAATTATTAAAAAGGGTTGTAGTTTAATTGAATGTTAGTGAGTTCTCTCTTAGAATTTGATTATATCTTAGATTTTTCTTTCTGTAAATATTTGCTTTGTATCAGATTGGAGGGAAAAGCTGAGAGGGTTGAATAATTTGCTTTCTCGCTGCAAGCTTCCAACATTACAACATTACAAAATGTAAACAACATTACAATGACTCAAGAAGGTGCGTTCTCTTTGACTCCACCTACTCAGACAACTCTAGATGGTCTGAGTTATAAAGGACCTAACACAGTGTGATGTGTGAATCCTTTGACCCATATATGTCAGCTTCTTCCACGGACCAGCAAATTCACAGCTGCCACAGATTTAGATGCAGTGTTTGATGTTCATTTTTTCTCTCTTGTTCACTGTTCCAACCTAGAGTGCCAAATTTCCTTCTCTAGTTAAAAAATGAAATAGTGCTCAATGAAAAATGCCTTTTTCTGGATAAACATTTCGAATAATTTGGGTGCTCATGCAATCCATGCCAGCTGAATTTCCTTCTTCTATAGCAATTATTAATACATACAATTTTAACCTTTTAAAACCCTGGGCAGTACTGAAACAGAAGCAAGGGGTGCTTGGTGCTCTCTGAGCTTGACTGTTTTCTTGCAGATGCGATTAGTAACCTCATCAGTGCTAGTCCCAGGTAGCATTGATGATGTTACCTAGTTTGGGTAATGAAACATCTACAAGAAAACAGCCAAGCTCACAGAGTACCAAGGACCCCTCATATCAACCCCGAGATACAAATATCCTCCTATTACAGAAGTAGAAGTAGCTTAAATTCCATCATCTAAAAGGCGCTCCATATCCTGTCTTGCTCACAATTTCCTATTGTGACTACTGAACAAACTCCCAGGCCTCCATAGTTATAGTCACATCAAGTTATCTAGTTTGGCATACACACAAAGATACTCGTTCCAACTGTATAACACAACACACATTTATTCAGAAGGCATTCCCACTATGTAGAACGGGTATTATTTCCATATAAACATCTGGATGATTGCTATCTAATCAGCTTCGTTACATCAATTACATAATTTTAAATTGCTTTAAATGTTTAAGTAAATGTTTACTATCATTACATTAAATTATATATGCAACCGAGAGTTGCAACAGTTAAAACAAAGTAATTTTTTTATTAAAGTTAGAAAAACAGAGAAGCTATCATTTTCCAACTATATAGAGCACGCATATGCTCACATGCACATGCACACACAGAGACACACAGAGACTTGAAGAAGATACCACAGTGGCCATAGGGCATCACTTGAGAATATTATTGCTTTCCTCCTTTTGATATTTCCCAAATTAACATAATACATAATTAATTTCTTTTCAAGTAACTTGGGGGTTAATATACCTTCTGGTCATGAGATCATAATAAAAACTAGGGAATCTATCCAAAGGTTTATCTAATTCAACATTCTGTTTCAAATCTAACCAGATATCCATCTTGTTTCCAGAAGCCTTTATTAGAAGGTACAACGTCCCTAGGATTTTAAATAAACCATAAGCTCTGTTGCCAGAGAAGTTTTTAACAGTCCTATTTTCCATAAATTTATTTGATTTTTTTTTCTAAAGCTACACAAATTGTATGTTTTGTGGTTGCAAATTTTACAGATTACTTGTCTTTCTGCAAAGAAGTAATTCCTGTTATTGAAAGGGGAGTTAGTAGTTCAATCCCAAAGCTATGTATCTAGTCTAGCATTGTGTCCACAGTAATCAAATAAGAGAGAGTTTATAATCAGGACTTTTTCTCTTAAATCATAATAATCACCGTTTCTTTTCTCAACCCAAAATCAATTGAATCCTTCTACTCCTGCTCCTCTGCAATCAGCATCAAGGGACATATTGCTTCTGATTTCACCGTCACGATTACCTGCTAAACCAGCGGTTCTCAACCTATGGGTCGCGACCCCATTTGGGGTCGATCGACCATTTCATGGGGGTCGCCAAGCAAGGCTGTCCACCATTTTTTCCCCTTTTCCGGCGGGTGCCTTACCTCCCTTGAGCTGGGCCAGCTGGTGGTCGGCCTGCTCCGTCTCTGCCACTTGACAGCTATGCCTTGGCTGGCGCAGGGGGCGGAACCACGCATGCGCAGCGCTCCCGGGCAGGGAAAGTCCTCGACTTACGACCGGTTGGGTAGTCCTCGACTTACGACCGGTTTAGTCCTCGACTTATGACCGGTTTAGTCCTCGACTTACGATCGGTTTAGTCCTCGACTTACGACCGGTTGGGGTCGCGGCATTAAAAAGGTTGAGAACCACTGTGCTAAACCTTCATGACTTTCCATAACTAATCGTGAAGCAATCCAAATTATGACCATCATGCCATCATTAATCAGAATAATGAAGAAATCTGTTGTTGACCTGAGTCATTAACTAACCAGTTCTGTTAAAATTATAAGGCCACAAATAATTTAACCGTATTATTTATTAAGATTGTATCACCCTTTGATTTTATGCAGCAGGAAAAGTTCCTTAATTGGCAAGCATGGACCACAGTATGATCAGAACAATTATGCACACTGCTATGGCTCTCTTATCTTTTTTCATCTCAAAGTTCAGTGTGTTACCTTCACTATTATTCAGGATCATGATCTGGTAAGTGTATTTCTTGTAAAATATATGAAAAAGAGAAAATACATAATTGGTCAACTAGAGCAGGGGTTCCCAACCCTCAGTCCGTGGACCAGTACTGGGCTGCGGCATGCCAGCAACTGGTCCACACAAACAAGCAAAGCCCCATCCGCAGGATGCAGGCAGCACACAAAACTACACCCTTTCCGGTCTGCGGAAAAACCTCTCTCCACAGAACTGGTCCCTGGTGCACAAAAGTTTGGGGACCTCTGAACTAGAGCAGTATTCAATTACCAGAAGAAAGGTGTGTGTTTTTTTTAAGTCAGGGTGCTTAGTCAAATGCTAACAAAGTCTAGTTTTTGGCCCCATCGTTTAAGTCAACATTTGAGTAGAGATAAAACTAAGACAAGTAGTTGCATCTTGTCCCGAAACTCCATGAACATCTGGAGAGAAGAAGCAATTCAAATGTTTCAGAAAAATTTTGTCATGTAGGGTTACTAGTTGCAGGTCCCCTCCCTATAGCTAGCCTCATTGACTTATTGATTTAAACAGCTATATAACATCTGCATGAGGTTTCTTAATCTGGAGGCTGATCTTGGCACAAGATCAGAATATTAGAGTCTCTCCATATGGAAGAGTTTTCCCCATTTTCTTGCACTCTTTAATAGCTTCCTCACTGGCCACTCCTCTTGCTTATGTTGAAGACTGCCTTGTTGGTCTTGTCATTGCCACCTACCCACAGTCCTCATCTACAACCTCACACCATTCTAAAAGCCTTCAGCAGCTTTTACAGCCTCTTCCATCTACTGCGATTTAAGCTTGGAATGGAAGTCATTCCACAATACGCCTCTTCCACAAAATCCCCATCAGTCTTCCATTCTGTTCTCCATATTTTCAGGACTAAGCGTCTGAAAATGGGGGTGAAGGTGAAGTACCTCAATAATGAGGGATACCAATTTAGCTACTTCACCCGAGGGGAACCCGGATCCCGACCATCTGTGCTGATGCTTCATGGATTCTCACTCAACAAAGACATGTGGTTAAATACCATCCAAGTAGGTCTTCCTTTTACATACTCTAGCTTGGGTGATGCTGGTCTGATCATGATGCTGGTCTGATCAGAGAGGAAACCTTCTGTGCTCTTGCTCACAACTAGTTCCTTTTAAAGGAAATGTGCCAGTGCCATTCCCTGTGTCCCATCTGCCTACAGTTCCTGGGATCCCTTCTCACTGGGCAGAGTGAGATGTGTGGAAAAGGGAGCAACATCACAATGATCAAGGGGAAAACTGTGGGTACTATGTGACCTGGGTCTCAAATACAACCTGTCCCACTCTGGTCATCCTCCAAATAGGAGGACCTTCTCCAAAGTTCCTGGCTAGTATGGCCTTTACTAATATCCACATCTGAGGTTCTGTCCAATTTTTCTTTATCTTCTTGGAGGTAGATGAGAACCAGCTCTCTGCCACTATGGATGAAGCAAATAGGAAATTTAACCCAGTCCTTAGGCTACAGGTGGTTTTGGCCCTCCTGATGTTAGGGATCATTTATGCCTTGCCAAACAGCTGCAAAGAGGAATTGGCTGTGTCACACCAGGATCTGGCAATTTTATGAAATATTTGGGCATCACTGTGCATTTTTTCCTTAATAAAATAATATTGAAAAGACAGTTGTGGAAATCTCATGTAGTCTCATGCATTCTTTCCTGAAATTTTAATGAAAGAATGAAGGAGGCAGGCAGGCAGAAATAGATGATAGATAGATAGATAGATAGATAGATAGATAGATAGATAGATAGATAGATAGATAGATAGATAGATAGATAGAGAGAGAGAGAGAGAGAGAGAGAGAGAGAGAGAGAGAGAGAGTTCTGAAAAAAATCAGTGAAGTGTGAGCATGCTCAATTTTCCAAAACGCATTATTTGGTGATATCAATGGAAGAAGAGGAAAAGATGGTGTGGAATGGGTGGGGAAGGGAGGGCAAAAGAGAAGTGGATCTGATTCCAGGACCAAGAAGAAAAATGTTTCTTCTCTAGTCCTGCTTTTGGCAGCGAACAGAGCCAGCTATTTTTGTTCTGATTCCTTGGATTCACATGCAGAACCATTTCCCCATAGGTCTTTCCTAAGGGCCTCCACTTGATCTGCCTTGATCTGCCAGGCCACGGGGGAACCACTCGCTTGCTCGGAGAAAGTTACACAGCAGTTGCTCAAGCTAAAAGGGTACACCAGGTAGGTCCTTTCTTGATATGATACATTGTTCTTTGAAGGCTGGTGATTGGCAGCAAATGGTGAAAGTAGGGTGTGTGAGAGAAATTAGATACAAACTCAAGGAGTGGCTGTCAATAAAAAATATATAAAGTGGCTATTGTTTGCATTAAAATGTAGAATCTCCTTTCAGTCGAGCATGACTTCTGATGACTTTATGGACATGTCCTTTTGATTTCTTGAAGATAATATTTTATCTTCATTTTTTCATAAATAACTTAGATAAGGGAATAAAAGGGGAACTCCTCAAATTTGCAGATGACACTAAACTGGCAGGAATAGCCAACACCCCAGAAGACAAGCTCAGGATTCAAAAGGGTCTTGACAAACTTGAACAACGGACCCTATCCAACAAAATGAATTTTAATGTGGAGAAAAGCAAAGTTTTACATTTAAGCAGGAAAAATCAGAAGTATAAATACAGATTAGGCAAGACTTGGCTAAAAAACAGTAACTGTGAGAGGGACCTTGGAGTCCTAGTAGATGATCACTTGAATATGAGCCAGCAGTGTGCAGCAGCAGCCAAAAAGCTAATACAATCCTGGGTTGTATAAACAGAGTCATAGATCATGTGAAGTATTAGTACTGCTTTATAAAACTCTGTAACACCACACCTGGAATATTGCAACCAATTTTGGTCACCATACTACAAAAAAAATGTTGAGACTTTGGAAAAAAATCAGAGAAGTGCAACTAAAATAATCAAAGGCCTGGAGATTAAAACATACGAAGAACGGCTGCAGGACTTGGGTTTGGCTAGCTAGTCTAAAGAAAAGAAGAAATAAGGGTGATATAATAGCAGTATTCCAGTATTTGAGGAGCTGCCACAAAGAAGAGGGGGTCAAATTATTCTTCAAAGCAACAGAAGGCAGGACAAGAAATAATGTTGGAAACAAATCAAAGAGAGAAGCAACCTGGAATTAAGGAGAAACTTCCTAACAATGAGGACAATCAACCAGTGGAACAGCTTGCCTCCAGAAATCGTGGGTGCTCCATCACTGGAGGTTTTTAAGAAGAGACTAGACAGTCACTTATCTGAAATGGTATAGGTTCATCTGCATGAGCAGGGGGCTGGACTAGAAGACCTCCAACGTCCCTTTCACTCCTAGTTCAGTTTCAGTCAAATATTTCTAGTATCAAACCCTGCTTAGCTTTCCAAGATGAGCACTATGGGTTAGATGTTGCCACCTGGAACATTGTGGAAAGCCAAAAAAATGATTTACTATAGTTTAGGGAAAAAATAGGTAAGCATGGGTAAGCATCTCATGAAAACACAGCCACAATCTCTTTGTTCCCAATGCTTGTTTCAGTTTGTCCAGTGTGCTGGTCTGAACCACAAGCCTTTCCACCTGGTTGGCATGTCCATGGGAGGCATGGTTGCTGGGGTTTATGCCGCTCTCTATCCAGCCCATGTCTCCTCGTTAGCCCTCCTCTGCCCAGCTGGTAAGTATCTACATAAAGTAAGTAAATTCTGAAGGAAAAGATAGAATGCTTGATCCAAACTCTATCAGTGTTTCTCAACCTTGACAATTTGCTGGCTGTGGAATTCTGGGAGTTGAAGTCCACATGCCTTAAAATTGTCAAGGTTGAGAAACTGCTCTAGCTCATGGTGGCTGGGGAAGTCATGAAGTTGCCAAATTTGGAGATCCCAGAGCTAGATTATAAGAACTTGATGGACTGTTTGGAGATGGTTTCTCTCATCAGATGCAATGCTTCTTCATGCATTTCAGTGTAACCGTTTCTGTGGCTAGAACTGAATTAAGGTTACCAATTTTACTGCTACCCTCTTGGTTACATTAAGAGGTTTTACCTAGGATGACTTCAGTCTCATGCTATGTGATGCTCATGTTTTCCTGGTTTTGTGACCTGAAACACCTGCCAGCATTGTTGGTCTCTTCTTGGGGACTGGGTATATTATGACAAACCTAGAAAAGTATGCATGGGTCCATTGTGATGACCACCGGTTAGTTATCTTGCCAGTAACTATATTCTGCTGTTCAGACTGTCATATTTGGGGGCATTAGCTTGCAAGGAAGCCTCAAACCCAGATGAGACTAACTGCAGAATTGGATAGTTGGCCTACCTTGAGAGAAAGCTCAGAATTCAGCAGTTTAAAACATGGTGGTTCACTTTCTGTTTAGTATTTTAATCTATCTTAAATACAGGTAAACCTACAACCACAACTGAACCCAAAATTTATGCTGCTGTTAAGTAAATTTTGCCCCATCTTATGACCTTTCTTGCCACAGTTGCTAAGTGAATCACCGCAGTTGTTAAATGAATTGGACTTACCCATTAACCTTGCTTGTCAGAGGGTTGCAAAAGGAGATCACATGATCCCAGGGCAATGCAACCATCATAAACACATACCAATTGCCAAATGTCTGAATTTTGATCACATGACCATGGGGTTTGGTGCAACGGTCATAACTCTAAAAATGGTCATAGGTCACTTGTAACATTCAAATAGTCACTAAGCAAATGGTTGTGAGTCGAGGACTACCTGTATTTTTCATGCAGCATTCAAAGGTTTAAACACAATTCTGCCCACATATTAGGATGTGCAGCCCTCTTTGTGGTCTTTAGAAAGGACATAAGGGAAGTAAGTAGTAGTAAGTTAGTAAGACCACACTGGGAATACTGCATCCAATTTTGGTCACCATGATGTAAAAAAGATATTGAGATTCTAGAAGAAATGCACAGAAGAGTAAGAAAGATGATTAGAGGGCTGGGTGCTAAAATATACGAGGAATGGTTGCAGGAACTTGGCATGTCTAGTTTAATGAAGAGAAGGACTAGAGTGACATGATAACAGTCTTCCAATATTTGAGGGGTTGTCACAGAGAAAAAGAGGACAACCTATTCTCCAAAGCAACTGAGGGCAAGAGAAAAAATAACAGATGGAAACTTATCAAAGAGAGATCCAGCCTAGAACTAAGAAGAAATTTCCTGACAGAACAATTAATCAGTGGAATGGCTTGCCTTCAGAAGTTGTGGGTGCATCATCACTGGAGATTTTTAAGAAGGGATTGGACAGCCATTTGTCCCGAGTGGTATAGAATCTCCTGCTTGAGCAGGGGTTAGACTAGAAGATCTCCAAGGTCTCTTCCAACTGTTATTCTGTTATTCTGTTAAGTGATGATCAACTGGATGTTTTGGTGGTAATAGGACTCTTCACATAAGGTCTACCTGCCATGATTGTTAAGCTTTATGGCTTGGCTTACTACCATTTTCCCTATCCAATCTTTTACCACCAGTTATTCCACTTGTGCCAGCTGTGAATATAATTGAAACCTAATTATGAGAATAAATGATATATGCTTTCCTTAAATAAATCTATGCCTGCAATTCCTGTTCAAATGTTACGTTTGTCTTACATTAGCTTTTAAAATTTTGCACTTTCCTCTACTTACAGGTGTGAGGTATTTAACTGATAGTGAATTTTTTGCCCAATTACGTGAGCTGATTTTCTCTAAGGGCTCTGTGGAGAATGCTATTATCCCAGTTACAGAAGAGCAGATGGAAAACTTCATAAAGCTGTGCTTATACCATCCCATTTTTTTAAAGATTCAGGTGAAGATCTGACCTTTCGTGGATTGCTATGTTGTTACCTAGTCTCTTCTGATAACATCTTTCTCCTTCCCTGGCTCTCTTATTTTAATGGGGTGGCCAGAGAGAGCACACAACCCAAAAGGTAAAAGAACACAAACATTTCAAAAATACAGAAACTGGACAAGAGAGGTGTGGACAGGTTCATTCATTCATCTACCCACCCATTCTTACATTCATTCAAACATTCTTTTTTAAAAAAGAAAGGTATCCTGGAACTGCTCACCATAAAATAAATAACCAGGACATTAGTGCCTTCAGATTTGTAGTCTAAAGACACAAAAGAAAGAAAGAAGGAGGTTGTTCCAGTGCTATAAAAAGTCCCCCCACAATGCTTGGTCTTAGATCTTCCTTTACCAAAAGAGCGTTGTCAGTTGTCAGTGTAGGATATTATCAGCTAAACGCAGGGGTGTCAAACTGTGTCACGCCAAAACCGCGCCCATCATGTCAAAATCGTGCCGGCAATGGGAAAAAAGTCACGATACATCATGGTACCTCGCAGGTTTGACACCCATGAGCTAAAGACTAATAATTAATTTTCCACAATATCCACTAAAGGCATCATTCTACAACAAGTGTCAGTGGAGATTCTCAATCATCCAGGTCATGGTTGTCCCAAAGATGCATTTTCAAAGGCAATTGGACTTTGTTTTTCCTTGAAGACATTTCGGTTCCCATCCAAGAAGCTTTCTGAAGAATGTTCTTGGATGAGAAATGAAATGTCTTCAAGGTAAAACAAAATCCAGTTGCCTTTGATGAAAAAAGCACTTTTAGGATTCTATGACAAGGCTAGAAATTAAACAGGCAACCTGAGGACTACAGATTTAATTTTCCTCAGCTGTGCTTAACTGAAACTGCCCATAGATACTTTTCAAAAATTAACCATTTTTGCCAAGACCATCTTCCTCTTTTTTAACCTACTGGTTCAATTGTGCTTTATTCATTGTTGACTAAGTTGTCAAGAATGGGCTTGAACCCATGATCTTCATCAAAATAGCCAGCCTAATATTGAGCGCCGCCCTCTCTGTGAAATATGCAAGATAAGACTGGTTTTCAAAATGACTTTTATAGGATAAAAGGGATTTCAGTGAAAAGAACTATACTCACCAATAATGCAATGAACTGCTAATCGGGAATGTGATTGTGCATATCCAGCTTTGCTGAACATAGGTTACATTGGTGCAGAGTAAATGACAAAATGTACAACACAGTGACTCAAGGACCATTCCTTATCTATTTGCATATGATGTCATGATTCAAATATGAAAGGGCAAACTTGCCTTAGAAAAATGTGATACTTATTTCATCACGTTGGTGTCCCTAGAGTTGGGAATAGGCATATTTATGCTTGGCTGCTCACACATTTCAAAAACTTTTAAGAAATTGCAAATTCGATTCAAACATAATTCAATGCAATATAACTTATTCTGTAAGCCTCCCACAGTTGCCCTATAGGGATATGGGCATTATATAAATTTAATAAATAAAATAAATAAAAATAATAACTTCTGACTTGCCATTTTGATTTCTCACCTTTTAGCTCCTAAAGGGTTATCTTGAAGATCGGAGATCACATAAGTCGGTTTTTGTAAAATGTAAGTACAAGACACAATATGGACCAGCCCACATTTCAGAAAGACAAGCCTACATTTAGCACCAATATAATGAATCCAGGGTCCAGGAGCCAACATCAACTCTCCATTCAGCACATGTTGATTGCATTTGCATGTTATATTTGACAAAGCAGAACAACAGAGTTAGAAGGGACCTTTGAGGTCATCTGGTCCAACCCCCTGCTCAAGCAGGAGACCCTATAGCAGTGATGGTGAACTTTTTAGAGACTGAGTGCCCAAACTGCAACCCAAAACCCACTTATGCATCGTCCGGTGTGGCCCATTGGGTGGGTGTGGCCCATTAGGTGAGCGTGGCAGCGGTGGTAACAGCAGACTGGGTGGACTAAAAAGTTCAATCAATCAATTCTAACTTTGCAAGATCATTTTTTTCCCTGCGAGAAGTTGAAATTGACTGATTGATTGAACCTTTTTTTTTTGTACAAAGCAGCGGAGGCCTAAAGCGAAAAGGTTTTATAAAACCCAGCTGAAGGCCTAGGACTGGCACCCGTGCCATAGGTTCACCACCACTGTCCTATAGTATATCAGACTTTGGCTGTCCAAAGTCTTCTTGAAAACCTCCAGTGATGGAGCACCTACAACTTCTGAAAGAAAGCCATTCCACTGGTTAATTGTTCTCAATGTCCGGAAAGTTCTCTTTATTTCTAGGTTGAATTTGACACTTGATTCTTGATTTTTAAAATGTTAAATAGTCTTGGGAAAATCAGTTGTCTCTTGATACACTACCATGATATAGCTGTACCACTCTGCATACTGAGGTCCTACAGTTCATATCTCCTTTGTAATCATCATAGATCAGTCTTTCCCAATTTACAAGCCTTCCAAGGGTGTTAGGAATATAACTCCCATAATTCCCAGTCAATTAATGCCCATTGGGTGTGGGATTCAGAGGTTATTGTCCAGCTACACGAAAGAGATGCAAGTTGGAAAAGCTGCTGGACTGGCATTAAATCAGCCAAATGGGATAGCAAAGGGTTCGAGTTACTGTTCCAGCCAAGTGTTCCTTAATCAAATTTAACTCATCGTGTTATTTATATGAAAACAGAAGATCAGAAACAGGCAAATAATAGAATAGAATAGAATAGAATAGAATAGAATAGAATAGAATAGAATAGAGTTGGAAGGGACCTTGGAGGTCTTCTAGTCCAACCTCCTGCTCAGGCAGGAAACCCTATACCATTTCGGACAAATGGCTGTCCAGTCTCTTCTTAAAAACTTCCAGTGTTGGAGCATTCACCACTTCTGGAGGCAGGTTGTTCCACTGGTTAATTGTTCTAACTGTCAGGAAGTTTCTCCTTAGTTCTAGGTTGCTTCTCTCATTGATTAGTTTCCATCCGTTGCTTCTTGTCCTGCCCTCAGGTGCCTTGGAGAATAGCTTGACTCCCTCTTCTTTGTGGCAGCCCCTGAGATATTGGAACACTGCTATCATGTCCCCCCTCGTCCTTCTCTTTGTTAAACTAGACATACCCAATTCCAGCAACCGTTCCTTATATGTTTTAGCCTCCAGTCGCCTAATCATATTTGTTGCCCTTCTCTGTACTCTTTCTAGAGTCCCAACATCTTTTTTACATCGTGGTGACCAAAACTGGATGCAGAATTCCAAGTGTGGCCTTACTAAGGCATTGTAAAGTGGTATTAATACTTCATGTGATCTTGATTCTGTCCCTCTGTTAATGCAGCCTAGCACTGTGTTGGCCTTTTTGTCAGCTGCAGCACACTGCTGGCTCATATTTAAGTGATTGCCCACTAGGACTACGAGATCCCTCTCACAGTTACTACTAAGCCCATGACAGGTTTCACTGCTCGTTAGAAATGGAAAGAAACAAACCAATTCTGCTTCCTTTTATTGAGAAAGGTTTTCTGGACCTCACCAGCACTGAATCAAGGTACAGCCTCCATGAGAAGATGTGGAAAATCAAAGCTCCCACCCAGATTATTTGGGGAAAAGAGGACAAGGTAAGGGATTTATGTGTATCTGGGATTTTGTGCACATTGTGTTGCAATGAGGCAAGGAAACCCTAACAACAATGGAAATTATTGTATTACTAGAGAATTTTACTTGGCCTGAATTCAAGGCTCAGGGCCTGCCTTTTTTTATATCGGAATGTGATGTCCACCAATAAAGGAAGGGCTGGAAGCATACACCTTCCTAGATAGTAAGAAAGGAATCATTTTCATTAGTGTGAGGACTTTGCATGGCTTGTTGAGGGTCACACTCCAGAAGAGGGCAGGATGAGGATTTATTTGGGAGACTTCAGGGCTTTTAAGTGTCAGAGGAGCCTATTAGGTTTAAAGTACTTCTTTTGCTCCTTTATCCCCCAAATTCAGACACAGAGAGACCTTGTTCTCCTCACTAGGTGGGTCAGGTGAGGGTAATTTTTGTTATTTCTTTAGGGAATTTACAAATTAAATGAAAACAAAACAAAAATTTGATTTCATGATTTTGGAAATTGTTGACAGGTTGTGTGTGTGTGTGTGTGTGTGTGTGTGTGTGTGAGAGAGAGAGAGAGAGAGAGAGAGAGAGAGAGAGAGAGGTTTTCTTTCTTCCTCCTGGGCTAAGGTGAAGAGTTAAATAGGGAGATTTTTAATCATCATCATCATTATCCCCCAGTGAGGCACTCCCTTGACATGGGTGTGGGTCTTGTGTGCTATGAGGAAGGTGAAAGCTCTGCCAGAAGTTCAACCGTACCAAACGAATGCACCAGTTCTGGAAAGAACAACATCTAGAATCAGAAATAACAGAACAGGGGCTAGCAGATTAACATAGATTTATAATATGAAATAAAGTATTCACAGAAACAGAATTGGAAGAACTGCAAAGGTCTACCCAGGGCAAAGAAATCAAAGCCTTGTCAGAAGTAACTCAGATTATAAAGGCAAACCAGAGGGAGTGGGCAGTAGAGGAATCCAACAGAGACATAGAATTGTTTTCATTTGGAAACCAGGCACACTGTACCCTGCCTTGGAAAGAACAAAGCCCTCTAACTAAAGAAGTAGAATAACTGAGCATTAGAACAGCACAAAAACATCAGAATATGGCTGCCTGCATTGAAGCTTGTTCCAAAGAAACAGCTAGCACAAGAAAAGACTTTTTCTCCAAGAGAAAGGAAGAAAGAAAAAAAGAAACAAATCAAACAATGTACAGCACAGCTGCAATTATAACTGAATATTTGTGATGTAAAATCAACAAAGGAGAAGAAAAAGCCAAATAGTGAGCCACCAAAATGGAAGATCAGACTAGAAAATAAGTTCAGCAAGTTGAGATCTGATACAAGCAAATTAGAACAGATGAAAGAAAAGAAGCTGAAGAACAAGAAGATCAAAGCATACCTAATCAAAAAATACCACTTAGAAAGAAGGAAGATCAAGGAAGCACTGGAAATAATAAAGCAGCAAACAATAGCTATAGTTAAGAAGATCAGCATATATGAAGCTCTAATTGCAAATTATAGGCAGAATCTCCAATTTCAATGCAATCAGAAACATTTCTACCATACAACAAGGTCTCAGCTTGGTTAAAGGAGATGGATAAGAATAAAAAATAAGCTGAAATGAAAGAACTAGTAATAACAGGAGAAATGGTAGAGAAAAGAGCAAGGAAGATCAAGAATAACCTTTTTTTAATTGGATTTATATGTTTCTAAAATTTGGGGACCAAAAGATTTCTTATCCCTATTGAAGATTTGGGTTTTTACTTACAAAGAAGAAGTAAAATTGTAAAAAGAATTATAAAAATTTTGGACTTAAAAAACCTTAAATTGCATTGATGACATCTTGTGGCTAAACCTGATACTATAACCTGTTATTGTCTAAAAGAGACTTGGGTTGAAGCCCAGACTACAGATAAGACTTTTTTAACCTTGGCAGATATCAGCTATGAGAAGCTCAGCTGTGTTCTATACCGAGTGATAAAACTATTTTCATCCCCTGATTGTAAAGCTTTTAATTTAATACACCACTAAGAGAATATGGATGAAGATTCTTTCTATGTTGAAAGCAATTCATGAAACTATTCTTACAGCTTCTGACGAAATAAGACGCTATAGAAAAGAACAAGATGTCAGCCTAGATATTCAAACCCTAACTTTGACTACAATTAAAGAATCAATTACACAGAACACAATAGCAGAAGTGGAACAATCAAACACTATGATAGAGGATTCAATGGACCAACAAACATAGTTAATGGAAAACCCACAAAAGGGACTGATAACACTGAAAATGGAAAAGACTTACTATATAAACCAGAAGAAATCTGAGGAGCAAGAAGAAGAACAGACTGAAGAGAAGATAAACATTCCAGGACAACTACAGGGAGATGGAATAATAGAGAGACGATTTGTTAGTCCTTCCAAAAGAATGGCGATTGGATGGTCTCTTTTATTTCAAATAATATATACAATAACAGAGGGAGATCTATTTGATGATTCAAAAGCACGGACATGGAAGGCGAGTTGGCAAAGAAAGAAAGCTAGAATAAGGCTGAAGAAAATTGGGATTTGGATTTATTAGTGAAGATGTCATGTTATTAATTAAAATAGAATATACTCAAACAGACAAGATGTGTACTTTGAATACTAGATTATGCTATGAACTGAGATAAAGAAAACTTTAAACTCATTTAAAACTTGGAAGTATAAATATCAAAAGTTAAATTTGAATATTGATGGGAAATTAAAAATTGGGGGAAACAATTAAGTAGGATATTGATTGTCTATAAAGATTGAATGTAAAAGTAATTAAGATATATATAAGCTAAAAAAATTGATAAATGTAATAAACGTCTTTACATAGTTGATAAAATAAGAATTGTATTAGTTTAAATATGAGATAGTAGATATTAAGAGAAAAAGAGAGGAAGTATTTGATGTTGAAATAAGGGGGAAATTAGATTTAAGACATTTGGAAATTAGTAGAAAATAAGAATGTTATACTGTATTATCAACTAGATGATGTAAGATGGTGAGAAATAGAATATATTCAAAGAGATAGGACATGTATCTTGAACATTAGGTTTTGTGATGAATTGTGGTAAAGGAAACTTTGGTTACCTAAAACTTGGAAATTATAAATATTAAATGTTAAATTTAAATATTGATGGGAAACTAAAAATTGGGAAAAACTAATTACAGGATATTGATTGTCTATAAAGATTGAATGTTAAAGCAATTAGGATATGTATAAGCTAAAACTATTGATAAATGTTACAATGTTATTTTCACTTAATTGATATAATAAGAATTGTATTAGCTTAAACATGAGACAGTAAATACTAAGGGAAAAAGAGAGGAAATATTCAATGTGGTAGTTTGAGATTTGTACTAAAGACCCTTTTATGTTATTGAATTATTGATTAACCCAACCACCACGATGCTTTTTAAATACTTAAATGTAAAACTAGAAAATCAATAAAACTTAAAAAAAAAGATTTTACACAGAAAGACTTAAGCCAAGAGAATCCAGATATACTGATACCCACCTAAAAGGTTTAATAAAGGGAAGATCAAGTTAAATGACTCCGTCCTTGAAGAAACAATAATATGCATAATAGAATTCAGCAGCTTCATTAGTTAATATCTTTCAAATAAGGAGATTCTTTTAAATGCACTTTAAAAAGACTTTCAAGGGGAGGAGGAAATTCAATATTTCTTTGTTCTGTAGGTCTTTGATTCTTCGGGTGCAGAAATTTTGGCGGATGCCATTCCTAATTCCCAAGTGCATTGGCTGGAGAAATGTGGACATTTCATAACTCTGGAGAGGCCCAGGACCTCTGCAAGGCTCCTCTTAGAATTCTACAAATCAATCTATGACTCAACCAAGCAGAAGAAGGTGGCCTGAGGCTCAGGAAGTGCCAGATGGCTGGAGACAGGCAAGGTCTGCCCCACCACCAACCCCATGTTGACTTCTCTGGCTGATCCAATGGGAGCTACAACTCAAGATACTTAGTAGGCAGCAGAGGAGGTGAGGACCCAGAGAGAACAACGCTTTGCGCCACCATTCCATAAAGACCGATCAAGAATTGATCCATCTTTTCTAACAAAGCTCACAGCACAACAGTCAGTTCATAATGATTAAATAGAGTGGAATGCCACTCTACAGAAATACTACAGGTAATCCTTGACTTATAACAATTCGTTTAATGACCGTTTGAAGTTACAACGCATCTGAAAAGATACAACGCATCGTGACCATTTTTCGCATTTACAACGGTTGCAGCATCCCCACGGTCACATGATCAAAATTCCAACGCTCAGCAACTGCCTCATATTTATGATGGTTGCAGTGTGTCCCAGGATCATGGGATCCCCTTTTGTGACTTTCTGACAAGCAAAGTCAACGTGGAAGCCAGATTCACTTAACCACTATGTTACTAACTTAACAACTGCAGTGATTCATGTAACAACTGTGCCAAGAAAGATTGTAAAGTGGGAAAAAACTCACTCAACAAGTGTCTCACTTAGCAACAGAAATGTGAGGTTCAGTTCTGGTCATAAGTCGAGGACTACCTGTACACTCCTGAGCAGCAATATCATAAGGTAGCTAATAGTCTTTGTGTGACTTTGAGGTAGGCACCTGCCACATAACATGCACTGAGATGCATTGAGTATTTCAATGTGTTTGGTAGAATTTTATCCCATCTTTCCTTGAAGAACACAAGCCAGCATCACTTCCTTCAAATTGTGACTGGCCCAAGGTCACCCTGTGACCTTTTATGGCTGAGGGAAGATTGGAATCTGGGTTCCTCTGATTCTAGTCCAACACAATGCCAATACCATACAGGTCCTGCTCGTCTTACAACCACAACTGGGATCAGAATTTCCATTGCCAAGCAAGGCAGTTGTAAGTTGTGCCCAATTTTACAACCTTTATTTGCCATGGCTGTTAAGTGTAGTAGTTATGTGGATCGCATGGTCATTAATTGAATCCAGCTTCCCCCGCTGACTTTGCTTATTGGAAACTGGCTGGGAAGATCACAAATGGCAATTACTTGACCCTGGGATGCTGCACAATCTGGTTGCCAAACACCTGAATGTTGATCACATGACCGTGGGGGATGCTGTGACAGTCACAAGCCAATTTTTTAATTGTTGTAGCTTCCAATGGTCACTAAACAAATAGTTGTAAGTTGAGGACTACCTGTTCGAGATCGGTGCAAGCAAGCAATTCTTGAGCTTTTAACAGGGATAAATACTGAGCATTGTTTCATGTGAATGCTGCAACATTGCAGGGAAAGAATATGCCCTCAGAATCAAGCTTTCCCTTCACAGAGAGCTCAGTTCTTAGCAATTAAGAGGAAAAAATGGCACTGCTTAAGGCAGTGGTGGCGAACCTATGGCACGGGTGCCAGAGGCAGCACTCGGAGCCCTCTCTGTGGGCACACGTATTGTTGCCCCAGCCTCGCCTCCCCCCACGACTCTCTCCTCTCCAGCAGCCCCCCTGAAGGAGACTTGCCCCTGAGCGTGGCCCACCCGGAGCAGCGCAGCCAAGGACATGGCAGCCAGGCAGCGTAGACAAGACTCTGCCCTCACACCCCATCGTGCACAGTTGATGCTGCAAGGCGTGGGCAGAGGGCGTGACCGCCATAGCGCTGCTGGGCTGCCTGGGCGATCTGCGGCGGGCCCTGGAGGTGGTGAGTGGCCCTGCGGGCAGGCAGGCAGTGGATGGGGGGCGGAGCAGGGGTGAGGCAGGGGGTGGGGTGGGGGCGGGGCCAGTTTTTGGGTACTCGGTCTCTAAAAGGTTCGCCATCACTGGCTTAAGGCAAGCATATCACCTTCTCCCCAAATCTCCTTTGCCATAGACGTGACAAACAATAAGCCCTGTCAGCTCACCTATAAAACATTTAGAATGCCAAGGAATGTTGAAAAGGTGTAAAACGTTACTAGAAGTTACTAGAATCCCACAACCAGTGGTGGGATTCAGCCAGTTCGCACCAGTTCGACAGAATCGGTAGCTAATTTTTTGTTGCCCAGGCCCAGAATGGACTTCCGGAAGTGGCATCCACACAGAGAACCGGTTGTTCACATATTTGAATCCCACCGCTTCCCACAACTGACCAGACTAAGTGCCTAGTAGGCTGCTGTATTCAAATTCTTGGTTGATATATCCAATCACACGGACATTCTAATTTGCATAATTCTCTATAGTGAGATTACAATCTCACCCTTTTAATTTAGTACCATACTAATAAACCTATGTTTCAATGAATTTTCATCCAATCTCCGATCTGTGTATTTTTATGGGAACAATTCCATCTTCTTTCTGGCCTTTGGTTTCTGGCCTTGCTGAGAGAATGAGGACACAGGGACACTCTGAATAGAATTCTTCTTGAAACATAACTTTTCGAAGATTGCAAGTTTCACATTTCTTTGCAGAACTCTTCTGGACATATATATATGAGTATCTTCTCACTTGAGGCACAAATGACCGTAGGCAATTTTTTGGTGACATGCAGTAGTGGTCAAAATTGTGGAAAACTTTTGGGAAAAGTGTACAGTAGAAATGCCACCTTTGGTTAAGTTTCCACCAATTTTTCTTCTAATTTCTTTATAACTGTAGCCTTGTTCACTTAATAATACTATTTTACATCGCTTTCTAGACAACCAGTCAACTCTTTGCACCATTACTTTAATTTTATTACGTTTTAATTTACAAGCTCACTAAGTGAAAAAACACAAAAAAACCCAAACAACTTGATAGCAATCACACAACACACTCACAAATGTCCTCCTCTCAGCTTCAATACATGACATCAATAACTGAATCCTACTGTGATCTGATTGGCTCATTGCCAAAAGAAGATTACACCTAATTGGCTCTCTAAACATTCATGCTCATTGGCTACAATCAGATGAAGGAAAGCTACCTGATATCAACCTAAGCAAGTTGTGCTTCCTTTTTCTGGTTATTTGGTTATAACTTTTCATAAAATTGAACAGATAATTATTGCATTACATTCTTGATTAAATTATCTTTCCATTGATATATAATTTTATGGTACTACTCCCAAAAAAGTAGTGTTATTAGCCATCAAACCTCAAAAATACACTTTTCCCAAAAGGTTTCCACAATTTTGGCCACTACTGTAGAACAACGTGGGATAAACAGTACCATCATGGATTCACAGTTGGCTGGCCAACTGCATGCAACATGTAGCCCTCAAGTGAACTACATCTACAGGGAGGGAAGCATATAGTGGGATACCTCAAGGTTCTGTCTGGGGCCCAGTGTTCTTCAACATCTTCATAAATGATCTAGATGAGGGGATAGAAGGGGAATTCATAAAATGTGTAGATGGCTCCAAGCTGGGGGGAATTGCCAACATTTTAGAAGATAGACTGAAGATTCAGAAGGATCTTGACAGACTTCAACATTGGGCCACAAGATCCAACAAGATACAGTTCTGTGATGAGAAAAGTAAGGGCCTGCACTTAGGTGAGAAAAACCAAACAGACAAGTATAGAATAGGCAGTATCTGGCTCAACAGTACTAAGTGTGAGAGTGATCTAGCTGTCCTAATGGATCACCACTCAAATATGAGCTATCAGTGTGCTGCAGTTGTGAAACAAGTAAATGCTGCCCTAGGCTGCATCAACAGAAGGATAGCATCAAGATCATGAGAAATGATAGTACCTCTCTATGCTGCACTAGTGAGGCCACATTGGGAATGCTGTGTCCAGTTCTGGTCACCACAATGCAAAAAAAAATAATTGCTGACACTAGAAGGAAGGAACAAGGAACAACAAAGATGGTGATTGATCTGAAGGCTAAATCATACAATAAATGGTTAAGGGAGCTAAGTGTGTCTAGAGTGACAAAGAGGAGGATTAAGGGTGACATGATAGCTGTTTTGTAGTACTTGATGTGCTGTCACAGAGAAGAAGGGTTGACTTATTTTCTAAAGCACCTGAGGGCAGGACAAGAAGCAATGGGTGAAATTCCTTAAAGAGAGCTTCAACCTGGAACTAAGGAGATTTCCTGATAGTGAGAACAATTAATCAATGGAACAGCTTCCTCCTGGATTTGAGGGTGCTCCATCACGGAAGGTTTTCAAGAAAATATTGGACATCCATTTTTCCAGAATGGGATAAGTTCTCCTGTCTTGGGCAGACAGTTGGGCTAGAAGACCTCCAAGGTCCCTTCCAGCCCTATGATTCTATATAATTATCATAATTTGATTTCATTGTGTGAAAACATAGCTCTTCCCATAATGCTGGGAAGGGTACAAGGAAAGAAAAAAAGAGAACAGCAAGAAGAGAGATGGATAAACTCAGTTGCAATGGTGATGGGTTCACTGTTAGAATATCTGAAGGACCAGGATGGGGACAAAATGTCTTGGGGAAAAAATATACCACTAAGAGTTGACACCAACTCGATGACTTAAGGGGCATTCATTGTATACCATGTAAATATTTACCTGTCTTGTTACAAGGTGTCCTGTTACAAGAAGTCAACAGGCAGGAAGTCTGAGGTGCCAATACTTACTGCATTTTATCTGGCTGATGGAAGTGGCCTGCTTCCGTTGCGGCTATGTTCTGCAGCCTTTTTTTATCTGCTACTTCTTCCAGTTTAATGTAATTCCTATTGTAGGCAAATTCCCTCCCTGTTGCCAGACTCAGAGAGTAGACCTCTAGAGTGATCAAAGAAGAAAATAGCAAAATACAAGAAATTAGACAAATGTTCATCGTGGCATGGTAGAGAAAAGATACCAATCATTTATATGTTTGTTTAAATAATTTATATAGCCACTCATGTCAAAGCAGTGACTCTAGAGTCTAGACAGAATTCAAAGATTAAAAATGACAATTACAAACAACAGTTACAAACAATATGTTACATTA